CTGCTGTAGGCCGCTGGGCTTCGTGTGTGGCCACATCTGGGTGCGCAGGCAGGCGCCGCCCGCCGCCGCCGTCGCTGGGCTCGCCGAGGCGGGGCCCCCCGCGGCAGCTGCTGGCACAGCGTCGCCAGCCGCGCCCTTGCCTTAGAGCAGCACCTTGCACAGCTCGCTGCCTTCCTCTCTTCTGGAGGGCAGCCGGCGCTCGCCGTGACGGCCAAGGAACTGGGGGTCTCGCGGGAGGTGGTGCAAGCGTGGTGGTTCCACTGGCAGTTGCGCTCAGCGCGGGTCGCGGCGAGGTTGACCACGGTGGGGCTGCTTGGCCCGCTTGGGCTGCCGCTGTGGGGGTTGGTTTTGGGACCTCACCGAGGAAGGAATCGGAATCGAGCCCAGCCTGGGCCCTCCAGCCTGGTCTCGGCTCCAGGCCATCATGGGAGCTGAGTCCTCTATCCAGGCCACCTTCCGCGCGCTGGCAGGACCGCTCGATCCTGCCGCATCCAGTGGGCCAGCAGGAGAGCCGGCGGACGTGAGGGACGCGGACTTCGCGTCGGCGGCAGGCAGCGCGTTGGCCACTCCAAGAGGACTTGAAGGAGGAGACGGCGGAGGAGAGGAAGGAGGCGGCGGTGGCATCAGCCAGTCTGCGCAGGTTGCCGAGCTGATATCTGATAGCGGCACTTGCTGAGGAGCAGCGCGACCTCGAGGAAAGGAGATTCTCTCTTGAGGTGTCTGTGGGGGAGAGTCCCGCTGACGCTGGTTGCGCCGTCGGCAGAGGAGGCAGAAGAGGCGGCGGAGGAGCAGCCATAGGGAGAGGCAGTTGGAGAAGTGCGTGAGGCGCGGTTTACGGAGGAGACGGTAGCGGCCGACGGCGAGCGGGAGGAGTAGCCCTGGCAGGACTGGTTCAGCGCCGCGGCAGCAGCGCCACCACCGCCGCAGGCTGCCGCCGCCGAGCTGCCTGCTCCACCAGCCGTTGCTCCTCGGCCACGGCCCAGTGTGTGCCCGATCTGCAGGGGAGCCGTGAACCATAGCGTTCGGTGAGCGGCCTGGGCTGTCACGCATGCGGCGGTGGTTGGGGCTGTGGTGGGCATTCTCCTCTGAGCAGTGCTGCGCCGCAGCGTGCCGGTCTTGCGCCACCGGAGGTGGAGGTGGAGGTGGAGGTGGGGAGCGGGGGCCTGCTGGAGGAGATGCTGCACGAGGCGTTGAAGGAGATGTTGATGTCTAGTTTCTTGGGGCATGCCAGTCCAGCCTCGGGCTGGGGGCGCTGCGCCACCAGGGGCACGCAAGCCACAGCCCTGGCCTGCAGCACGGAGCCACCGCTCTAGAGGAGATGCAGGAGGAGGCGGAGGAGATGCCTGAGAGGCAGGCGGCGGCAGGCGCGGCTGGTGCTGAAGAGTGCCAAGGCGAAGTAGAGGGAGAGGAGGGGGAGGAGGAGTGGCGGGAGGGAAGCATGGCGAGGAGAGCTGCCCAGAAGGCTGGGTGCGGCTCGGCCGCGATTGTGCAGCCTGCAGGCCTGGCAGAGCTGTGCAGACTCCGTCGCGCCCGCCTACCCACAGCAGAGGGTTGCAGCCGTTGCGCCATGCATGTCCCGCGGTGCAAGAATCTGTGGGCGTGCTCGCAGTGTGGGGGCCACTACTGCTCAGCGTGCACGCCGGGGAGAAGGGCCTCGTGGGCTCTGACGTGCTAAGCTGCGTGTGCGCAGCCGGCTAGAGAGGCTCCGATGAGGTTGCAGCATGGAGGGGCTGCTTGGGAGTTCTGCTGGCCAGCATCATGCTGCACAGACGGTCTCAGGAGCACATGCGCCCAGGGAGGGCGGGCATGCCACGCCTGCAGCGCTGGCCGAAACAGTCGGGCCCCCAAATCGAAGGGGAGCAGCTTCTGCCCATTCCAGGAGTTGCTCGAGCAGGTCATGGTCGAGCCCATGGCGCCGACGATACTGAGCCCACCGCCAGACGCCTTAGCGCGCACCGTGGAGGTTTGAAGGGTGTCCCTGGTGTAGCTCCACAGGGTCTGCACGAGCTCACACTCGACCCCGGCCGCGCGCCGTGCGGCCTTGCTGTGGGCCTACGCGGTGCTGGGGCTGCTTCTGAGCCGCCTTCCGCGCGGGGGCAGTGGGGGCGAGCCTCGAGGGTGCGTCTCATTGAAGACAGTGCTCAGCTATAGCGGGTCGAGGTTTGGGAGCAGAACTTGCTTGCGTGATTTTTTCCTGGAATGCCCGGCAGAGCGAGAAGCACGCCAGCGGGCTGCTTGCTGGGATTCTCGCGTCCAGGCGGATCTGTTCGAAGGGTGGCGACTTGCGGTGCGATCGGTCCACGATGACTGCGTGGTCCAGGCTTGCGGAAAGGCTACTGGGCAGGGCTGGGCAGTGGCGAGGCCATCAGGGAGGAGATGCCGCGCCTCGCGGCCATCGACGTGCCGCACTGTGAACAGGAGGCTGTGGCAGCACAGGTGACCTCCCTCGCCCCAGAGATCGCGCGGGCAAAGCCGCCGCGGAAGGCCAGCCTGCGCCGGCGCCTTCTCGGGCCTACCTTCCGCCAGGGGGCGGCGCCTTGGCCCTCCAGGAGTCGCAACGCATACCTCGCAGCCCTGGCTGCGATCCCTGGCGGCGTGGGACGCACTGGCCAGGTCGCGATCCAGCCGCGCATGGCCGATGCAGAGTGTGTTGCGCATACTACGGCGCGGAGGTTTCCAAGGCTCGCGCCTGGCGTAAGGGCTGTTAGCCCTGGACTTGGAGGGCGTCTTTGTGGAGCTGAAAGATGCCCGATGCCTACCTCGTCGGCCCCCTCCGTTGCCTAGTAGCTCAGCGGCTGGCCGACCAGTCCGCCCTCGCTGCCCACGGACGCCGTCTTGCAGCGATATTGTCGAACGTGCTCATGATGGCTTGGGACGCGGCCGAGCGGCGAGGAAATGTGCAAGCCGATCCAACGTTGGAAGAGTTCTTCGGCAGCGTGCCGCACTTCAGGGGCAGCTCGCCCATGCTGTGTGCCGTTGCGCAGGGAGCTTTCGAGTCTAGTCTTGATCCACTCGTGGATGCTGCGGGGCCTGCTTCCAACCGCGTGGGCGCGGCGTGTGCTCATCTGGCCGTCCTGAGGGATCTGGTGAGGGCGCGGGGTCCACGACCAGGCGGACCATGCCGTACGGACCATCGCTCAGCAGTCCGCAGGCCACGTTGGCCAGGGGCGCTTGGCCAAACTCCTGCCCTGGTTTCGCGACTTCGCGCGGCGGCAGCTTTCCACGCAGCTGAGAGGCTCGCTGCGGAGCTGGGGCGGCCGCGGCCGACGCGCTACAGCAGGGCAGACGCAGCGGCTGCCCAGGAGGCGTCGGCGACTCCACTGGCTGGAAGGGCCGAGGTGCGGCAATCTGTCCATACTTTCACGGTGGCTGCAAAGCAAAATTGTCAGGATCGGATGGCCCGTGGTGCGCGGACGCCCCAGCCAACCCTGCCGCCCCGCAGGCTGGTGCAGAAAATGCCCACGTGGACCGCCTCACAGGTGCAGCGGCGGCCTCCCGGGCTTCCAGGGCCCGCGCAAGGGGCCACCCCTGCGACCCCCGCGTGTCTTGGCGGACGATGCGTGGCCTTGCCGCTCTAAGGGCGACGGCGTTGCACAGCAACATGCCCAGGTACGGGCAAATCGTATCTTCGTCGAACGGCGAGGCTGCAGCACCTTCTGGAGCACGGCCACCCTTGCGGGCTGCCAGCGCACAGTGGGCGATTGCCACTCGGGCGCGGCTGGGCGTGGCGGCCCAGCCCAGCGAGGCCTTGCGTGTTCTTTGCGCGTGTCTGGTGGAGATGGTTCCTGCGGAGGTCTATGGACGACAATCATCACTCCAGTCTCTGCCCGAACGGCTGTGGCGGGCGCCTCCAGTGTCACAGCGCTGTTGGTGCCCTCTTGCGTCGCCACGCTGAGCTCACGGGGGCCTTCGTGGACATCGAGCTGTGTACCTCCGAGTTGTACGTCCTCTTCGCGGGCGTGGTCCACGAACGCGTCATGGACCTGGTGGTGTCGGGGCCAGCATCGGGCAGACGCTTCCTGCTGGGCGTCACCGCCGTCTCGCCCTTCGCTGCCGAGCTCCTGCGCCCGCGCGCTGCGCCTGGAAACGCGGCCCGCGGGGGAGATTGGGCATCGCGTAAGAGGGGGCGACGCATTGGGGGGCAGCGGGGGCTGCAGAACAGTGGCCCTTCAGGGCCCCAAAGGGGGCCTATAGGGCCCGAAAAGTTCACCTTTCTCCCGCTAATGTATTACCCCCCTTACGCGACGCAGCGCCCAAGGGAGAGACAGACAAGCTCACGCACTACGGCAAGTCCGTGGTCCTTGGCTCGCTGGAGGCATTCGGCCGTTTGGGGCCGATCTGACGCTGCGCGCTGTCGCCTCCTTTCTCACAAGGAGTCCTGTGACCACGGCCAGCTGCGCCCCTGCACCAGGCGTCCAGTGGCCCTCCACCTGCGGTCGCTTCGGGCCGAGCTGGAGTCGGCCGCCGTCCTCGGGGAGGCTTAGCAGCAGTTGCTTGCGCTGGGTGGCAGTGCCGTGCATGCCCTTGGCTAGCCAGGCAACGCGCGCGGCTAGAGCGGCGCGGCGGGCGCGGCGGGCGCGGCGGCGTTGAAGGGGGAGCAGGGTGAGCTGGGCTCGCGCACGGGCTAGCAGATGGAATGTGGATTAGCTTTCTTTTCCTCTTGTGCGGTCTCCCACGTGAGGGATGGGCGCTTATTGTCAGCAAAGTGGGGTTGGTTAGGGCGTCTAGGGGTCAGGCAGGATACGGTTGGATCGTGTCGTGTCGACGCAGCGTCGACCCCAGCGCGGGCATCCAGGGTTGAGGGCCGCCGCTGGCCTGGGATCAGCCGTTCTCGAATGGACCATGTTACTCCCGATCGTTCAAGGTTGAGCGCTCCACGTTCCCGCGTGCATGTTCTCACGGCAGGAACCAGGCGTAGGGCAGGGTGAAGAGGGGTGCTGGCGAGGGGTGGTCCTGAGCAGGGGCGGGCAGCACCTCCCTGCGTCGGCCTCCCCCCCAAGGACGACCTCCAAGCGGCGATGCGGGAGGTCGGGGAGGAGCTCCGCCTTGAGCTGCGCATCGGCCTCGCGGGCTTGCAGGAGCGCGCGTGCGGGCGCAGGTGTTCGCCTGTGTGTGTGTGTGTGTGTGTGTGTTTGCGCTCTTCCGCCGGCGCAGTCACTCTGCCTAGCCGCCGACACAAACAGTGTGCGTGTGTGTGTGTGTGTGTGTGTGTTCACTTCGCGACGGGTCTCGTTTGCTTCAGCCTGGCACGGCTCGTCGCTTGTCGAGCTCTGTTTGCATTGGACAGGGCGACGTGGCCGCTTTGGTAGGCACTCACCTGGCCGCGTCAGCCGCAGCCTGAGACATCGGCTACTTCTCTTAGGTGTGTGTGTGTGTGTGTGTGCGTATGTGCGTGCGTGCGTATGTGCGTGCGTGCGTGCGTGCGTGCGTGCGTGTGTGTGTGTGTGTGTATATGGTGTGCGTGTATGTGTGTGTGTGTGTGTGTGTGTGCGTGCGTGTGTGCGTGCGTGCGTGCGTGCGTGTATGCGTGCGTGCGTGCCTGTTTTTGTTTGTTGTTGTTTTTGTTGTTGATGTTGTGGTACGTGTTGTTGTTGTTGTCGTTGTTGTTGCTGTTGTTGTTGTTGCTGTTGTTGGTGTTGTTGGTGGTGTTGTTGTTGTTGTAGTTGTTGTTGTTGTGGTGGTGGTTGTTGTTGTTGGTGTTGGTGTGGTGGTTGTTGTTATTGTTGTGGTTGTTAATATTGTTGTTGTTGCTGTGGTTGTCGTTGCTGCTGCTGCTGCTGCTGTTGTTGTTGTTGTTGTTGGTGGTGTTGTTATTCGTGTTCTTGTGGTTGTTGCGGTTGCAGTTGTTGCTGCTGCTGTTGTTGTTGTTACTGTTGTTGTTGTTGTTGCTGTGGCTGTTGTTGTTGGTGGTGTTGTTGTCGTTGCTGCTGCTGCTGCTGTTGTTGTTGTTGTTGTTGTCGTTGTTGGTGTTGTTGTTGTTGTTGCTGTTGTTGTTGTCGTTGTGGTTGTTGTTGTTGTTCTTGTTGTTGTTGTTGTTGTTGTTGGTGTTGTTGTTGTTGTTGTTGTTGTTGTTGGTGGTGTTGTTGGTGTTGTTGTTGTTGTTGTTGTTGTTGTTGTTGTTGTTGTTGTTGTTGTTGTTGTTGTTGTTGTTGTTGTTGTGTGCGCGCGTGTCCTTCCTCTCCTGGTCTGTTCCCGTCGCAGCTGCGCGTCGCCCCCCCCTCTCCATTTGCTTGCCCTCCTCCTCCGTCGCCTCCTCGCCCTCTTTCGCCTCTCTTCTTCCCCGCCTCTTTCTCAGCGCGCGCCGCCTCGTCGCCGCCGCCCTGGTTCGGCCCATGGCCTTCCTCGGCTCGCGGGTCGTTGCCGTCCTGGCTCGCCGCCTCCCGGCTGCCGCCGTCTCTCGCCCCGCTGTCTTCGGAGGCCAGCAAGCACACAGCGACACCGAGCGCGGGGGGCGAGGCAGCAAACACGAGCAGAGCACATGGCGATCTCAGGAGCACGGGCACCAGGCCAGCGACACGAAGAAACGAAGCAGGAGAGGGGGTGAGGGAGTAAAGGAGGAGGAGGAGGAGGAGGAGGAGGAGGAGGAGGAGGAGGAGGCGGAGGAGGAGATGGAGGAGGAGGAGGAGGAGGAGGAGGAGAGGAGGAGGAGGAGGAGGAGGAGGAGGAGGAGGAGGAGGAGGAGGAGGAGGAGGGGGCGATGATGAGGCAGGGGAGGAGCACGTGGACCAGGCGGGGCGGAGGACGAAGGGGAAGCGGAGGGATGGCGGACACGGGGAGGGAGAGGGAGGGGGGGGGGCTAGTGGACGAGAAGGACAATGCTGCTGTGTGCTGGCCACTCCCAGGAGCGAGTTCGCGTAAGTACTGCCTTCAGCAGGCGCGTCCTGGTGGAAGCATAACTTCATCGTGCAATTCTTGGCGCTTCGCGTATCCCCACCAAAAGTTCCGTAGCCTGGCTCAAGCCACTGGCTCAAGCCTGGCTCAAGCTGTCTGACGGCACCCCCGTCGCTCAAGGGGGCGCCCGATGCGGCGCCTCGACCCCCTGCCTGCGGCCGCGGCGCCGCCATCCACCCCTTCCTGTGCTGGTGGCACACGCGGCCCCTCGCGGGCGCCTCAGCAGATGGAGGATCGGCTTCTAGGGAATCCCAGTACAGGTGAGGAGTTTACAGAGCGAGTGCAGGGCCTGGTGGCCTCGACGCTGCCAAACAACAACTCCGTTCTGGGGACCCGCGGAACCGACGACCAGGCCCTACCCGCAGGGGGGAACGATACTACGGGTCGGCTTGAAGATCAGCAGCCTCCGCCTCCGGTCGAACAGGCGCCCGATACCGATCTGCCTTCGGGCTCCAGTAGCCTGATCAGCCCACCACGCCCGCACCACGCCGCTGCAGCTGTCTGCTGCACCAGGGTCGAACGACAGGTGGACCCAGACCCCAGTGAGGAGCGGGCACAAGGATCGGACCCTGATCATTTCACGATTTCCGCGGCTGTTCGCCGCACCCCAGGTGAGCCTAGATCAGATCGTCTCCCCAGCACTGGCGCCCTCGACCGCGCAGGCGAGAGCTGTTTCAATCGCTTCGCGGCGGTTAGCTGCACCCCAGCAGAGCACGAGCATGTCCCAGGCGAAGCCATTTCCCACCATCCCGCGGCTGTCAGCCGCACCCCAGCTGAGCATCGGCAGATCTCAGGCGAAACCATCTCCCACCATCCCGTGGCTGTTAGGTGCACCCCAGCCGACCATACAGACGAGACCCGTTCCTACCATTCCGCGGCAGTCAGCCGCACCCCAGCAGAGCATCAACATGTCTCAGGCGAAACCATTTCCCACCATCACGCGGCTGTTAGCTGCACGCCAGCAGGGCGCCGGCATGTCTCATTCGAAACCATTTCCCAACATCCCGCGGCTGGTAGCCGCACCCCACCAGAGCATCGTCAGGTCTCAGGGGAAGCCTTTCCCTACCATTCCCCGGCTGTTAGCCGCGCCCCAACAGAGCAATGGCGAGTTCAACCCGTGACCGACCGCAGTGAGGAGCGAGGGCCCCCTCCAAGTCCCCCCCTGGCCTCAGAAGGTCCCCTCCCAGAGCTCAGCACCCATGCCTGGATCCGCCTGGAGCCTCACAGCCCCCCCCCTGCCGACCCTGGACCGACGCGACCGGACCCCGATGGAGAGTCCGAGCCAGCAGGCGCTGGCACTCTCAACCGTCCTGCGGCTGTTAGCCGCCCCCAGCCGCGTCTGACGAGATCTCGGGCCCTCCTTGCCTGGACGGCGATGAGATTTCTCCTGCCGCGCCCCTGTCCCACTCGGCCTGGATCAGGAGGGAGAACGACTCCGCCCCTCCTGCGGGAGGTACAAACGCCAGCGGCGACGGGCGCACCAGGTCCCGCAGCATCGCCGCCGCGCGAAGGACCAGCATGCAGGACAGAGATAGTGGTGGAGGTGCCCCCCTCGGGGGCGCGCGGCCGAGCCGTGAGGCCGCTCCACTGGCCCGCGAGGGCGGCAGGCTGTCTCCCCCCTTCTGGCCTTGGCGTCGACGAGCCCAGGCCGGCCAGAGGGGGCGAGGATCCCGAGACGGCACCGAGCGAATCGCGAGGCGAACCCATCCCTCCTCATCCTCCCACTACCTCCTTCCCATACCCCCTGCGCCACGGCTCAAACCTTAATCTCGCCACAGGGGGCGCGTCGCCAGATCGACGCGTCTCCAGTCCTGGGAGGATGCCACAAGGTCACGACGCAAAGGGGGCTCTCGCCCCCCCCCCCACCAGCGGCGAAGACCCGCGCCCCAGACAGGAAAGAGACCCCAGACCTCCTGCGCGGGCTGCAGGCGATCAGGGCGAGGGGGCGACCCCAGACGGGCCGGGGACAACCGCCGGACGGGCAGATCCCCCCTCGAGACCACCAAGGGAGGTGGCCACGGACGGCCCGCGTGCCCAGGACCCTCGCAGAACAGGCCGTGGGGGTCCCTTAGAGGCCCTGCGGGAAACGGCAGAACGAGCGGGCGGCCCCTGGCTGGGCGGCGGGCGGGCCCGCGCTCGCACCCCGGGCCAGCAGCGCAACCTCGCTATCCTCCTCCACAACGCCTGGGCGCGCCACCGACCTCTCCACGCCCCAGGTGGCCCAGGAGGCCCACTTGACGACAACGGGCAGGGTTTCGACCTAGATTGAGGGCCCGCGCGCGCAGCGCATAGCCAGCGCCCTCTGCCAGGTCGACATCACAGGGCTAGCCTGGTCAGCCAAGGGGGGCGATTTCGAAGCCAGGCTGGGTGGGGCCAGACCTCGCCACGCACAACTTCTCGCATTCAGACTCCTGGCGATTCTATTCGACCCAGAGCTGCGCGATCCACAGAACGACAACCCCTCCCCATCTGACCTGTATGAGGATGGCTCCTCCGCCGAGATAGAGGCTGCCGCTGCTGATTACTGCCTCATGGTAGAAGCGGCGGCCCACTGCGGCTTCCTGCCCATTCAACGGCAGATTGAGGACCAAATCGACCCCGTTCCACCCGTAGAGGTCCTGCCACCGCCCGTTTCCCGATTCTACCGGTACCTCGATCCATGGGGCCCAGGTGCCGTGGCCCGGGCTATTAGTTGGCTCATGCGAGAACACAGAGGCGTAGGCGCGATCCACCTCCCAGACCACGAGCACCTAACAAGTTGGGCTTGGCTCCATCGCACAGAACCCTGCGCCGGACAGGACGTGCGCTCGATCCCGCAGACTGGGGACGGGCCGCTTTCCTGGGCCATCCCCAGGGTTATCCCACCCCGCCCCTACTTCGACATGCCCCCCCCCCCCCCCAATGGCGCACCCTGGTATATCTGCCTTTCAGCTTCACAGGGCGCACCCAGGGTCCACTGGCCTTGGGATCGTGCGGCCAGACGACTCCAGATTGTTTTTTGGTAGGCCGAGCGAGCAATGCTCGTGGTGCGGTGCATGGGCCCTGCGGGACCCCACTCCGGGATTATGCCCCGCGCGCCACCGCCTGGGGCACCCCTGGAGAGCCCTGGGGGGCCCGCGACCCGCGGGCGCGAGCTGCCCCGCTGCTCCCTTTGGACGGACTCAGCCCCCTCCTTGTCGTGCAGCTGGCCA